GTGGCCAGGAAACGGGGCGGGCCAGTCCGGCGGTGTCTCGTGACAGCAGGCCCGTGCCCCCCCCCTTCTCGAGGGAAACCCACTCAGGCCCCCAAAACTCTAGGTCTCCCAGATGGGGTCGAAGCAGCTTGCCAGAAAGCTGGCTCAGCTTCTCAAGGGGATTGGTAGCCTTGGTTGCTGGAAATGAATAGTGTACGTTCCTGGCTCCAAAAGCTGGCCCAGCGTTTCCTTAAGAAACTGCTGAAAAGCTGGCCCAGCTTTCTTGATTTATACTTTTCTTAATCAAATGTTTGACTGTACTCTAGGTCTCCCAGATGGGGTCGAAGCAGATGGGGTCGGAGGATCGCGACGCATCGCCGATGCATCGCCGATGCGGCTCGATGTGGGGCCCACTTTTCTCCATGCCGACGTCGCCGATGCATCGCCGACGTCGGCAGTGCATCGCCGATGCATCGGCGATGCATCGGCGATTTATCGGCGATGCGGCGCGATCCTCCGACCCCACCTACTCCGACCCTATCTAGGAGGCCTCTAACAGGGGCGTTCAGTAAACAGCCCTATGTGTTTACTAAACAGCCCTGTCTTGTTCGATTCCTTTTTTTGGGTACGTTTACAAAACGGCGTCGCGTGTCGAGGTGTTTCTTATGGGGATGGTTTCACTGCTCTCTACCTTTTTCCTCCTGCCTTTTTCCTCTTCCTCGCCATCGCCTGTATCATACCTCCTCCCCCTTCTTCCCTCATCGCATTCCTTGTCCCCCTCTTCCTCCGCCCCCGAAGCAGTTTCGGTTCAAACCTCCTGATTTGCATGATCCGGTTGCGCGCCAGCATCGCCATTCTTTCGATGTCGCGTTGCTGAGGCGGCCCAGGAGTGCTGTGCGTGGTCGATGTTTGCGTTTTCGTGCGTGGCCTGGTCTTTACCTATGTAGATCGACACCTTCGTTCCATAACAGGCTTGCGGGCCAACAGTCGGCGCGGCGCTGTCGCTGTAGGTGATGCCAATCTGCGCCGCGAGAGGGTCGCGTGTTAAGCTGTTCGCACGGGGCCTCGTAGTGATTTCGTGCTTATGAGTGTGACAACCTGGTCTTGGGGCATGAGGAGGGGGAGGGGGAGGAGGAGGAGGAGGAGGAGGAGGAGGAGGAGGAGGAGGGAGGAGGAGGAGGAGGAGGAGGACGAGGAGGAGGAGGAGGAGGAGGAGTGGAACCGCGACCCTGTGGATGCGGACTCTTGGTCAGGATGGAAGCATTTCGCATCGTTTTCGATCGCATCGTGCCTAGAGGCAACAGAGTTTGTGGCAGCGCCGCTTGAGGTGGGCGCCTACATTACGGAGACTAGCCAATCTTTTCATTTCCTTGTAGCCGACTGGCGCTTACACAACAACCATGTGATGTTATGGCCCAGAAACAGTGAAGATGCCAGATTCGGAAATGTTGAAGGCGGTTGGGACATTTTGTTTGAATATATGAGCGGGGCCGGGCGGACCAGCTAGGAGGTCTCGTGCGCCAATGCTGCTGCTGCTGAAACGGCCAAGATGATGTTAACAACACTGGGCATGTGAGAGAAGTGATGGCTGCGTCGTCGGTGTTGGCTGCGACTCCAGTGCGATCCAGAGCGCCGTCGCCTGGACAATTCTTACTTACGTTTGTGCGCCCCGCCGTGACTGGTGATTGTCGAGATGCGTCTCCTGCTGAACGTCCCCACAACCGCGTGAAGCAGCGGTCATGCACCCGAGCGGATCACATTTGGTTCGCGGCATACTCCTATTTCCATCCAGCTCATCGTTCTCTTCTTCGACTTGCTCGGAGGGCACCACAAAACCGCCCGTCGCGCAACCAATTCGATTCCTGATCAATTTGTTTGCCACCAACCCTGGATAGAAGCCCAACCTGTTGGCCCCCCCTGCTGTTGACGACAGAGTGCTGATCGGTGTTGGGGCCGCCGCTGTTGGTGATAGTTTTGTAAGCATATTCCCCGATCTACGCGATGTTGTTATGGCCAGTAGCCCAGTCCTTCTGCACGTAGTTCTCCGTGCCGAGACAGCATCCGAACAGGTAGCCGGACTTTTCCTGCTGGCCCTGATATTTGCGCAATTTGGCGGAGGATTGGATCAGGAGCCACCCCCGGCATGTATTGGGCAATTCCCATTAGCAGAATGAATCGCATTTTGTGATGAGGCCAAGTGCGAAACGTGCCAGCACAAACCGCAGCCGTACCATCAGTGTAGAGTCCTTTTCAGCAGTTTCGTCGCTACTGGACGAGTCTTCCAAGGGCACGAAGCACACAGCGCAACAATAGCTCGGAACGTTGTAGGCATCAACGAAGCGTTTTATTCTGCAGTGGAGAGGGGTGAGATGACGGCGATTCCGTGCACCCGCTGCTCCGAAGGCTACAACATGTTCAGCTCGTCGTTCGTCGAGACAGTCCTCACACATGCTGAGCTGTCCCGGTCCTTGGTTGCATGCATTATGTCGTTCATCACCAGGTGCGTCTCGCAGCTCGTCCTCTTCGGGCGAGTCGTGGGAGGAGCGGCGCTTCTATGTGGGCTCTGGCAGGGCGACCCGCTGCCGTGCGTCCTGCACGTTTTGTCGGTCGACGTGTTTTTTCTTCTGGTGTCCGGAGGCGACACCAGATGCCGGAATGTTGCTTGCTTTCTGCGACGATTGGGAGGGTGAAGAACGCAACCTCAGCGACACGTGCAGGGTGCGGCGCGTGTTCGAGGACTTCCAGGAGGCATCGGGTCAAGTAACCAGCTACGGCAAGTGCTGCATCCGTCTCACGCGTCGTGCCACAGAGACCGAGACAAGGACAGCGAGGGGAGACTGGACGCAGTGCCAGGTAGTTTACCAGAAACGCCTGTTGGGATTGCCAGTGGGTCTCGATGTCACCCCAGACGACGTCTGACAAGAACTCGACGCCCGCCTGTAAGATCGGCTTGCCGCCTTCGAAACGGCCCCCACGTCGAAGTTTTCCCGCATATTCGCAACAAGCACTTTCTGCCCTGTTTTCGTGCACCTGGAGGGTGTTGCTCATCCCAGACACCGCCCGCGCCCGGGTGGAGAGCATGCTCAGACGCTTCCTTGCTCCTGTGCCCACCCTGAAACTGGCTGCATTATTCCCCATGCGCAGGCGGTGCGGCATTCAGACTTGCTTGCGCGACCTTCAACTGTTCAACGTGTCTGCGTTGATCGTGACAGCAGCCAAAACCCTGAAGCTGTCCGTATTGTCCCCCATGCGCAGGCGGTGCGGCATCCAGACTTGCTTGCGCGACCTTCAACTGTTGAACGTGTCTGCGTTGATCGTGACAGCAGCCAAATTGGAACATTTCGACGTGGGCAGAGTTAGCTTCGCAGACGATCTTGGCACCGACAGCCACCCCATGCGGATGTGGCGGCACGTGAGACGAGCTTTCACTTTCTGTCAACACGCAACGCATAGACCCGTGAGCAACGTTCTGGGCAGGGGGACTGACTATGGGAGCGCGAGCTGGAAAGTCTTCTCGCTCCTGCTGAGAGCCGAGGCCTCGTCGATGGACGCGCATGTTGTGCGACGGATGCAGGCGCGAGGGCTGGGCAGCCAGACTATTTTTATTGACCTCGACCGTGTCCCCTCCAGCATCCCGCAGCAGCTCCGGTGGTCACTCGCGCAATGGACTTTCAACATATTCCCCATTGCCAGACGTTGCCGCTCTGTGCGTGACGTTGCAGATGCTAGATATTTGCTGTGCGGCGGTAGCGAGGGCCGTTTGGAACATATGTGTGAGTGCCCAGTGGTTCGCGCGACGTTCGACGACATATGCACGAAGGCGGGTGTCATGGACCAGTGGCAGCCTAGCTACGCCTTCCTCTCTCGGCCCAAGGACGGTGCCCAAATCCAGACGGCGGCAGCGCTCTTGCAAGACGTAGGCAAGGTGGGGGGCGTTCTGTCACGAGGCCGGACATTCGACAGCCGATCTCATTCGCAGCGACACCTCATGCCGCCCGTGGGGCATCCGCGGCTATCGGCTGCGAGCCCACAGCTGGGTCGGCAAGAGAGGCGAGCGCGACGCACGTGTGCGCAGATACATAGCCGTGACAAAAGTTTTTTGAATTTGCTGTGATGAAGGTCCTTCCCATCCCTCTCAATATTCCTAACGTGACATGATGCCGGGGCCATTCGGCGGGGTAGTTTCCGATCCCGGAGACGCGAATAATTCTGTTTCCCCAAAACGGGATCGGAAACTACTCCGCGCCAGACCACCTGAGTTGTCGAGCGGGACGCGCGTCAGCAAGACTGCCCCGAGCTACTCCGCGCGAGCGCGCCATTCCAAAAGGCAGATCGAAAGGAACCTTCGGCGCGGCGATGTCGTCGAGGACGGCGCCAGCATCTGCCGGTCGGGCGGGGCGGCGCGCGGTCGGGGCCGCGGCGGCGGGGGCGCGCGTCGAGCGTCGACAGGGCTTGCGCGCCTCGACCCGCGCGCCGGCTGCGGCGAAACCGCAGCGCATCTGCATCGGGGCGCGCGAAACGCGAGTCTGTTTTCATGTCGTGTTGATCCGCAATTCGCGCGACCAAATGAAAGTAGACGCGCGCAAAATAGATTACCACAAACAGATACGAAATCAGCTTTTTATGTGAAAAAAAGCACTAATCGATACGTTTCTTATTAAAAAAAACAGATACGCGTTGCTATTTCCTTGAGTTGGACATAGGAACTCATCAAGACACATAGAGACTGGTTCGAAAAAACATAGATACTGATAGATTTGGCGCGCGCCGAATCCATGGCCGAGCCCAAAAATAGACGCTCCTAATTCCGCTGAAACGTCAGAGGTTAGATGATTGGGTGGTTCCCTAGGGATTCCTAAGGGTTCCTCAAGGATTCCTAGGGGCCCCCTAGGGATTCACTCGGGATCCCGAAGTATTCCTGAAGGCTTGCTGAAGGATTCCCGGGGGATTCCTGCGGATTCCTTATGGGGAGTCCTAAGGATTCCCGAGGGATTCCCGAGGATTCTCTATAGGGGTTCCTACAGATTTCCCTTTGGATTCCTAAGGATTCCCTATAGGCTTGCAAAGGAT